CCGTTAATTGACGCTCAACACTGATCTAGTTTGAAGAGGACTTACTGATTGGTTCCCCGTCTGTCTTATAACCTGGTCAATTTGGTGACCGGTTCACTTGGCCTGATGAAGCTTTTGTGTCAATAGCGAAACGTTGCCCAAATAAAAACTGCCGAGTTTTCAGCAACCTTGTGAGTAGTTTCCTTTATGAAAAACTACCGATTGCTTACCAAGCTCTTCTAAAACTATGGATTCTTAATCGGCTCCACAAGGTTCTCTGGCGATCATCAGGGATCGCTTCGTGGCAGAATGCATATCTTGGGAATTATCCTGGCAGGGACTTTGTGCAGAGTTCTGTACCTGTTGACCATTTGCACCATAGAAGTTCGACGGGCGTATACCGTCATTCTCCGGCTTACCTGATGCCTCACTGACACCGGATTAGACGGCTGTACTGAAGGGAATTAGTAAGGATAGGGAGATCCTACACAGGATCCTAAGGTGGATGAATGCAACCGCAGTTATTGGGACAGATGACATTTGGTGTTCACACATGTAAATGCTATCAATCCCATACGTGGTCGATTGTAGACGGAGCTCTGGTCATACTCACCTATGTCTGTGGATACAAGTTTTCCGTGCATCAAAATGCGAGTAGTAAGGACACGGCCTAACCACAGATCCGAACACCTAACTTAGTTTGCCTATCGCTAGCTGACATGCTTTCGAGCGTTCATGTGTGTGAAAGTATCGGTGTCTTTTGGCTTTGTAAGTAACATACTGACCACCACAAGATGTCAGAAAAACTGGAAGTTTTTAGCGCGTTGGATTTGAAGCATCCTTGTCAAGTCCGGCTACCACAACAACCAAGCAAGCTGTATCCGGATACGGGTCTGGACAACGTGGTGCCCCGAATGCAAAGCATTTCTGTCGGTTGTCGTGCGCAGTTCATCTTCTCTACAGCTGCATCGCGCCGGTAATTCAGAAATACAACTTACTTCAAATAGTTACTTCACCCGAATAGTCATCTGAAGCAACAAAAATGACCACGTGACCATTATGGGGGCGTCTGTCACCAGGTAGATTTGGGACCGGCCTAGGAAAAATAAATCGTTCAGTTACAGCATCTCTCCGGTGCCTGACTGCCATGCGACCAGAAGAAAGCGCGAGGGCTAGGATACTGTCAGGTTTCTCAAGCCTAGACATGGCGTGAAAACTGCCTGAGTGGAAACAGGTATGAATCTACCCAAGCGCTTCGATGACCGCCTCGCCTCAGTTCCCGGGTTCGGCGTTAGGATTGTATACTGTATTGTATACTTCCCTTCTGAAAAGCTACTCTAATGTTGGCTAAGTTCAACAATCTTCGAATAACCTCCGATGTTCCTGCTTCATATGGAATGACTGCTGTGCCAATCCATTCCTTACTGGGTCTAGATAATGGAGCCAATATCTCCCTTAGTTGTCGCCCAATCAAACTCACTGGGTATCCTATTTCTTGAAGTTTGTTGGCAATCTCGATTTGAGCTGCCGTCCGGTCGATCTCTTCTGTGCACAGCGCTCTAACTCGACGAAACATCGATGAGACAATGCTGGCGTACACGGACTTTGGGTGTGCTGATGAATAGCTTAAGACGGTTCCCGTGTCTGTTGGTTTCTGGTAGACAGTCGTTTTAAATTTCTCACCAACCTTGTGTTATACAGTCCAGAAAGGGTAATGTGCCCGATGTGGACTCTATCTCCATGCTACCGGTAATTTGTCGGTAGCAGTATTACTTCAATAATGAATAAGAGTAAGGNCCCGATCCATTCCCTGTTGGGTTTCGATAATGGTACCAACACCCTTCGCAAATGACGACCAGTCAAGTTAGCTGGATATCCAGTACCCCGAAGTTTGTTCTTTGCTTCATTTTCGGCCGCTGTCCAATCAGCTTCTTCTGTGCATAGGGTCCTTACACGCTTAAACATTGATGAGGTGATACTGGCGAATAACGACTTCGGATGGGCAGGCGAGTAGTTTAAAACTGCCCCAGTGTCGATTGGCTTCTCGTACACTGTGGTCATGTGTCATGCAGTCTAAAAAGGCCAGTGTATCCGAGGTTGACTCCATCTCCATACTAAATCTGATCTGTGGACTCAGTTCATTTAGATAATTGTAAAACTCACTAACCTTGTCCCATTTCATGACGACGAAAGTGTCATCTACATACCACCAGAATACCTTAGGTGGGTATGACAATTCGGCTAAAGCTCTCTGTTCAAATTATTCTATAAATGTATTTGCCAAAACCGGGGATATTGGAGATCCCATTGCTAGACCTTGTTCTTGAGTATAAACCACTGAGTCAAAGACGAAGTGGGTGAGGTTCACACATGCTCTTATGCCTTCCACTATTTCATCTACCGAAAGCTGTATTCGTTCTGAAACGGTGGTGTCCGCTAGCAGCAGTCGCTTGGCTATTTCTAAAGAATCCTCTTTTGGCAAATTTGTATATAACGAATTCACATCGAAACTTACAAGGATGTCGTCTGGTTCAACAGTGACACCCGCTACTTTGTTGGCGAAGTCATATGAATTCTTCATGTAAGTACTAGATTTCCCAGTGAGGGGCTTTAAAATACCGGCCAAGAATCTGGCCATTTCATGCGGTAGGGAAACTATTCCGTCTACTATCGGTCTCACCGGGACATCTGGTTTGTGGGTTTTGGAAGGCCATAAGGTCGTGGTTGGATTGCGCTTTTGGGGTACAATCGATACCAGTTGCCTTGCCCTAAGTAGTTT